TTTTTTTTTTTTTTCTGGAGATGGAGTCTTGCTCTGTCACCTGGGCTAGAGTGCCGTGGCGTTAGCCTAGCTCACAGCAACCTCAAACTCCTGGGCTCAGGTGATTCTCCTGGCTGAGCCCCCCAAGTAGCTGGGATTACAGGCGCACGCCACCACGCCTGGCTAATTTTTCTATTTTTAGTAGAGACGGGGTCTCACTCTTGCTCAGGCTGGTCTTGAACTTCTGACCTTAAGCAATCCTCCCGCCTGAGCCTCCCAGAGTGCTAGGATTACAGGCGTGAGCCACCGCACCCAGCCTGAATCTTATTTTCATATTCTATAACATAATTAACATTACTTTTCCTATAAAAGGTTGCCCAAATGAAGTTAAGAGAAACTTTATATATCTGGATGGTTAAGGATCCCAGGCAACAGAACAAGGCTATTACTCTTTGTAACTGATCAAGCAGCATCTACACTGGAAAACATTTTCTTATAGTCAGACTTTGCTGTATCACAAATCCATCATGATTAACTGTTGTTCATTCATAAGTGGGTGTCTACATCTTAATGCCAAGTTGGCTTCTCCTATCACTGATTTTTATCAGTGTCACCACTGATGTCACCACTCTGTCACCACTGCTCTCGCATGAGATTTTGCAATGCGTACTAATCCTATGCAGACCTTCACTACCGGGCTGAGCCTTTGCCCTGCCCTTTCAAAGGCTTCCTCTCCTCTCTGCTCAGCACTTGTGGTTTACCCTATACCACACTCATTATTAGAATGACATGTTATAAGAATGACACAATTTTGGGGGTAAAAATGAGAGACTTTTTAATTCGAATGCTGATGTCTAAATAAGGAAAGAAGAATCTAAGATTGCTGCAGAGATAAACTAGAAACCAGACTGCCACCCACATAAGCCAGGTTTCCATCTACTACAACATAGAGTGTATTTTGAAACCGCTCAAATACAGTCTCAAATCTGAATTGAGAATTTGAATTTATTATTATTGATTGAACTAATTACTATTAATCTCTTCTGGGGTTATTTGTCATTTCATCTATTTATGCCTTATTTTCCCAACATGTTTGTAAATTTATTGAGGCCAGAGACACAGCCTTTGAAGTTTTTGTATCCTTTAATACCTTACACAAAGACTTGCATTTGGGCAAATGTGTAGCAAATATTTTAATGATTGGTTACCCGGAAAATCTACCCAAGGAACTTGCAATACATCCTGACACCAAATGCGAATGATTTGTTTTAATAGTTTCTCGCAACTGTGTCTCTTCTTCGGTGCAAGTGATTAAGAATTATTTATATTTTATTCTTGATGATTTATGAACTCTAAGTTTGTGCTCCACTGTAATCCGTCTTTTGTTTTACCTGCTGTAGTAGGTCCAGGCAAAGGTGCAGCTTTTCTTCTCCGTTTGATATCTCCCGTGCATAAGGATCCTAAATGCATGCTGGTTTGCCTACAAGTAATTATCAGAAAAAACTATTAACAAAGGGGGAAAAAAATGACACATAAATACACAGCTTGTATAATCTGAACCTAAATCAAAACATTCTCAACAAAGATGGAGCTGCATGGGAAAATCACCAATCTTGTTTATATCGAAACATAATTACGTTTGCTGACAAGCGTTCAGCAGCTAAATGCGCCATCATAAATTGTTACTGGAATGAATAATATAAAAGGAATGCTTTTTAATTTTCAAAACTGGCAATCTTTCTAGCTCAACATAAAATCAAGCACTGTTGCTTCTGACAGGAAAATAGCTAAGATTAATTATCTAAAGAGATCACAATATTGTTGCTAGGTTATCAATTGGTTACTAATGCTTTACTGTCAGAACAACATTTATTACAGGAAAAGTATGATCAATTTCTTTTAGGATATTACACAGCAGTGAATTCTTTTAAAACATTTTAAATAGATAGAAGGAAACAGTGATGCTTCCCTTATAATTCATATAATTAGAATTATTTACTTATTAGCTAGGTGAGAAAACATAATTTGAATGCATTAATGCTGTTCTACTGCTAACATGATATGGGATTATATTTGCAAAGACATGATATATAAGAACTGAGAAGTGGATCTTCTGTTATTCTTAGAACCAGTTACAATTAGAGTATTCTGTCTCATCTTGGTCTCCTAAATTAAAAAGTTTTAGAAAAATAAAAATTGACCCAATTGTAAATCAAGAAAGGCTAATAAAAAGATGGAAACAGTTTAAAAGTCTTCCAACTTTTCAAGCTATAGAAGGATTCTGTGTTCGTTTCCTAGATCATAATCCTTGATGTGGGGTTGGGA